GCCGGCGACTCACAGCAGCCCAGCTCCAGGTTGAGCTGTTGTTCAGCATCTTAGCTGTAGAGGGCAGTGTCACTGGCCCTCATATGTGTAATCTGAAGTGGGGCCCTCTGGCGTCCCAAGCCAGCTCTTAACCAATGCACCACTCGGCCGACCCTGAATTGGTTTTCCAGGATTGGTTTTATCCTGGATCCTGGCCTGGTAAACCACTGTTTTGCTAGTTCTCTGATACCCTCAAGTAGTTGTTTTTGTTTTAACCTTTAATATTTTATTTGCCTCTCCTAGATGTCCTCAGCAGGAGGAAGTTGGTTATTATCTAGTGCCCCATTCTAGGAGGCCTATAGAAGTTTCTTACTCATGGAGGATGACAGTAGCATGGCAGTCTCTGCCCAGGAAAACAGCCAGAGAGCCGCTGCTCCAGACCCCCCGCACCCAGTAAGCCCGGGATTGGCCACATGCAGCAGAAAGACCTGGACTGTGAAATCAGATGATCCTGAAATTAAATCCATACTCAGCTACTAGGTGTAAAGCTGAAGGCAAGTGATGTCTTTTTTGAGTCTTAGTGTCCTAATATGGAAAAAGAAACAGAGAGAAATCTCCACCAGATAGGATTAGGGTGATTGGACAAGCCCACATAGAAACAGTATTCATAGCCCCTATGGAGCTAACCCCAGTTGTTGCACATAGTAGGTGCTTATTAAGTGAGTGTGAAGAATAACTATCACACAAGGTAGAAAGTAAATACTGCAAGCAAGGAAGCCTTTGGGAAGGAGGTAGGATGTGGGAAGGGTATCCTGGGTAGGGGAATGGCATGAACCGCGCGGTTCAGAAGAGGGGATAGACGTTAAGCACTTGCACAGGAGCAGGTGGTTCAGGTTTGGCTGGCACACACAACATGTGATGGAAAGTTGAGACACATCAGGATCAGCTCTCCAGATCTGCAGCCCTGGACACCAGACTCTGCCCTTCACAGGCACGGGGCTGTCCAAGACTTCAGGCTGGGGCCTCACCTGATCCACTCTGAACTCCCAAAAGGTTAACTGCACAGCATGGAGATGAACTGGGGTAGGACGAGGAAGAAGTGGAGGGAAATAGCCAGGTGGCGAGAGCACATTCCAAGGCTGGTGCAAGGGCCCAGGTGATAGGCAATGAAGATCTGAGTGCAGGCGGTGGTGGGCAGGACAAGGCCAAGACTGACCTGGGGTGGGTGCCTCCTCTTCCCCATCCCTGCAGGGCCCCTGCAGACTCACAGCCATAGGGGTTGGTGCTTTTAAAGGTGACATCAATGGGGAAGTTCCACACCAGCGCTTGCCGCACATCTTGGCTCTTGGATGTGATCTGTGAGATCCCTTCCTCCAGACCCTGTGAGGACAAGGACACTGACAGCTAGCGTCCGAACTCCAGGCTGCCACGCTTTCCCCTTACCTGGGCGTGCAGTTAAGAGGATTGTTTTCTTCACTACCTTCTGCCAAGACACTAACTCCCAAACAAAGGGAACTAAGAGATACTGGAGCAGCTGTTAGGTCTTTTAATGTTTTATTTCATTAGAAATTGGGACCTTCAAAAGCCAACCTCTACCTATGTACGATCTCATCTCCTCTTGCCTTACTGAAATAAATGACTCCAGTAGGTTGTTACTCTCCTATGGCACCAGTTTAACCGATCCTTCTCATTGGCATGTATGTGTGTTTTATTTTCTCTACCACAAAATACCACTCTCTTGGCTCTACTTCTTCCTCCTCCCATCAACCCATGCTTGCTCCCCTTTAGAGCAAAGCTCCTTGAAACAGCTGTCAATACTCACCGGCTCCAGTTCCTTCTGTTTTTCTCTCATGAACCCACTCCAAGCTAACTACTGGCCCCCACTCTACCAGTGTTTCTGTAAATAACACCGGTGACATCGGCACTGCTGTATCTATGGTCACTTCTCCACCCTCATTTTCCTTGGCCCACCAGCAGAATCTGCCACAGCTGGTCACTTCCTGACATCCCTCCTCCGATTGGTTTCTGGGGGACCCCACATCTTTGGGTCTTTCCTCCTCTCGGTGGCTCCTACTCTGTAGCTCTCGCACACCCTCCTTCATGCAGCAGCATCTGAAGCTGTCTTTGGCTGCTTCGCTATGTGTATTTGGGAGCGCCTCGGTCTCCAGGTTTCCGATGTGGTCTGTGTTCACAATTCCCAAACTTGTATCTCCAGCCTGTTCCCCACTTCTGAACTCCAGGTCAACATTGCCCTGTCTCCACTGCCGACTCCACATCTCCACTTGGCTATCTAGTAGGAACCTCAACCTTAACACATGCCAGACCAAGCTCTGGGGAGTTCGCCCAAATCTGCTCTATCCACAGTCTTCTCACTGAACAGCAACTCTGCTTCCTAGTTCTCAGGCTAAAACGCTAGGCATTAAATTCTTACCTCCACTTTCTCTCAGGCCCCACATCTGTCCAACAGAAAAATCTGTTGGCTCCATCCAAAAATACTTGAAATTCAGCCAGCTCTCCCCACCCTACTGCTGTACCTTGTCCCATCTGTTTAATGTAAACATGGTCTCCCTGCTTTGATCCTGCTCCCCCACAGTCTACTGGGAACAAAGAAGCCAGAGGGATCGTTTAAAAACACAAGTCAGATTACCTTTTCTCTCTGTTCTAAACTCTCTGAGGGAGTCCCATGCCGACCCAGCAAAGGTCATCTTCCTTATTCTGCCCTCTATGATTCTGCCCTTATTCTGCCTGTCTGTGCCCGCCCTGCTTCGTCCCCAACCGCTCTCCTTGCTCACTCTGCACACTGGCCACACTAGCCTCCTTGCTGTTCCTCAAACATGCCAGGCACAATCCTGCCTCAGGGCCCTTGCACTCTCTGCTCCTTCTACCTTACAAATTCTTTCCCCAGGTTTTCACATGGCTTATTCCCTCCTTTCCTGCAGGCCTTTATTCAAAAGCTACCTTCTCAGGGAGGTCTCACCTGACCACCTATTCATATCTTCCCTTCCTGACTTTACTTTCTCCTTAGCACTTACCAGTAGCAAGCATACTAGAATGTTTACTAGTCTGTCTTCCCCCAACAAGAATGTGCGCTCCAGGAAGACAGGTACTTTTATCTGATTTTGTTTACCACTGTATCCCCAGCACCCAGAAAACTTTTAATAATTATTCAGTCAAATGGGTGTATAGAAAATAAGTATTGTCATTTCACTTGTACAGATGAGGAAACAGGTCTCAATTTCCTCAACTGCTGTGAGGATTAAATAAGAGCTCTGCAAACCAAAGTTGTCATCACAGTCACGCTCCTGGTGGAGACAGACTGTTCCTTGGGAAGTATGAGGAAAGCTCCTGAGTCCTCCCCAAAAGCTGAGGAGAAGTCAAACAATGAAGGGACTGACCCAGAATGTGTACCACTCAGCCACTTCCAGGCTGGCTCTCTGGGGCCTGCCTGAGCTGCCCATACATTTCTGTTTGCTGCCATGTGCAGTAGGGTACGTGAGCACAGCGTTAGATGGTGGATCAGTGAGCCCAATAATGTTTGCGTTCTCCACTCCAGCTTTATGAGGAACAAACTCATGTATGGGTCCCCCTGAACTCGGTGTACACCTTTCAAATGGTTCTGAACTGGGAAGGGAAGTGGTATGATGGATGCCTTCAGAAACCCCAACAGTCATGAAGGCTGTAAAGTAGGCCCAAGAGTCCAGCTTACCGCTGTGGGGGCCCAGTCCTGGCCATACACAAAGCAGTACTTGCAGTAGAGATCATCGTACTCAGGAAACTGTGGAAACAAGCATACACAGGATCTGTTTATGGGAACTCATGCTGAGGCCAACATGTTGGCTAGACAGGTGTAGCCAACAGTAATTCTGAACGTGAGACACCTGGGCTGGGATCTAAGTGACACCCAGGGATGTGGACATGGAGTTCAGCACTGTGGCTCCAGATGTGGGGGTCCAATGGAGTCCCGAACTGTTACCGTCCCTGGGCCTTTGCTCAGCCTCTGCCTTTTGTCTGTCATGCCCTTCCCATTCCTTCATCTGGCAAACTCCTGCTCATCCTTCAAAACTTACCCTTCAGGGAGCCTGCCCTAACTTCCAGGCTGAATTAAGGGCCACCGCCTGGCTCCTTCAGTCAGTCCCTGGTGCTTTCTTCCACCAAAGCACTTGCCTGTGTTTATTTCTGTCAACCCCATTAGACTGTGAGCAAGGAACAAGTCTGGTGCCTTTCTGTGTCCCTGGCACCTGACACAGGGGGAGGTCTAAGGGAATGGCTCTGAAGTAAAAGGTCTGACACCAGGGTGCTATCAGGACACAGAGCATACGCACAGCTGGAGGTGAAGGTCTGAAGAGTGGGAGGGGCCCAGAGCTCTGAGAGGGGGAGGCAGAGTGGGAGTGGGGAGGGTGCTGAGTGCAGACACATGTGACCCAGCACAGCTGAGAGCCCCAGTAGGGACAGAAGAGAGGAAGATGGTCCTGGGCACTAGGCCAAGGGGCAGGTGGACAGGGTGGGAATATGGGGGAGCATCCCTGATGAAACAGGAAGGCAGGAAGACACCTAAGAGCCAGGCCCTGGCAGAGCTTTACCTAACCCATCTCTGTTAATCTTCACAATAATATAATAATAAACACCATCTCCAACAGCCTGGAAGGGCAGTGTAGCAAAGCCTTGGTGTCAGAAAGACCTGGCTTCAAATTCCAGCTTCGCCACTTCCTTTGGGCAAGTTTTCCCATCTGTAAAATGGGGAAGCTAGTAAGATCTACTTCACAGGGTTGTGAGAATTGAGTGAGCAATGCTGAGCATCGAGTTTGGCACATAACGAATACTTAAAATAACTTTATACACCACACACACACACACACACACACACACACACACACACGCACGCACACACGGTTTATAAAATGTAATGCAGAGTAGCATCCCTTGTGTCTGACAGGCACACCCTCCCAGGGTCATTCCATGCCACCACCATCGTTGGATCAGATTAACCAAATCATCTCCATTCCAACCCAAGTTCAAAGATCTGAGGGTTCAGAGTGCGGGGCACTCACTGAGCACGCGACACGGTACAGACGCCTCGAGCTCCATTACTAGAGGATAACTAGCCGCGCCACCGCTCCTCCGGTTAAACCCGTGTTAGGTGCCCTGTGACTCAACAAAGTGCGCAGGCACGACCCGCACCCGGGGCCGCAGGCTTGGCGGAGCGTGACCTCAGTACTAGCTCAATCCTTCGAGGTCAGTTTCCACACCTCGCGCATCGGGGTTGAAGACTCCCAGCAAACTCGCGCCGAGCCTCTTAAATGCTGACTCACTTCCCCCGCCTAACCGAGGGATGATAAGCCTCTTTGGGGCTACACAGCAGCCCAGGAAGTTGCGGGGCAGGCCCCCAGGGAAGAGTGGGGGTCGGACCCCGGCGGGGTCCACGGCCGCTCACCTGGGCGCTCTCCACCTGCCCGTTGACCATGAGTAGGAAGACGCTGGGACCCGCGGCCGCCATGGCAGGGGGCGCAAGGAAACCACTCAGGTTGCGCGCGCGATTGCTCAGTGGCGCCTGGGTTGCCCTGGAAACAGATGGCGTGGCGCGCAGGACACGTTTCTTGGAAGCCGGACCTTCAAAAAGGCGAGCGTACGTGGGCGGCGGTGCGCAGGCGCAACCAGCGGTCCCTCCCCTCCCCAGGAATGCTGGGAGAGTCCACGCGAGGCAGGGGCGGGAGTGTGGGCCCTGGATGCAGAACCCAGCCCACCATCCGATCCCGTTACACCCGCAGTGTGTACGTCTGCTTGGAGTCAGTCCCACCCGGCCCCGAGCGCGGAGACGTGCCCCTGACTCGAGCCCTTTGCAGGCCAAGTAATATAGACAACCCTCGGCCAGGAGACGGCGCTGTGGCTTTATCGCGAGGACGGGGGCGGGGGCGTGCGGAGGGAGGAGCCTGCCGGACGTGGGCGGACAGCGACAGCGAAGGCTGGGAGCTCAGACTTGGGTCTGAGCCGCCTGGGTTCTGAAGAGTCCCCAGCTAGGGCCAAGCTGTTCCCGCGTCAGGTTAAGGAGATGCTCCTCCCTTGTGGCTTTTAAGACCGTCATTTCCAAAAGTTTATTAAACAAAATAGGAGGACTCTCAAGACCACTTAAAAACAAGTCACTGCTCCTCAGTGTGAAGCGGGGCAACTGAGGCACACGGAGGGGCAGTACCTGGCATCCCAGTCACCCAGCTGTCAAGGGAAGAGTGAGCCATATAGCCCACGGCTCTGTCAAGACATTGTTCAAATGACAGTTACTCTGTGGCTGCCCTGAGTTGGTCGCAGCTTCTATGAACACATTGATCCAGTTGCTCTTAGCACTCATGGTTTGTATTCGCACATTTATTATTATTGTCATAACTTGGACTAATGCTAGCCTCCCTCCTCCCCCCAACTCAGGGCCACCCTGATCTTGTGGCTCCCTGGCACATCTTGTAACAGCTTGTTAGAGAAGTGAATAACTGAATCCATCCCCATTACACAAAGAAGGAAGCAGATTCAGAGAGGCGAGGTGACTGGGACAGTCACAGCTGGTAAGCTTAGTCAGGATTCAAACCCAGGACTCCACAGGCTAAAGACCCTGACTGCCTCTTCCTGGGCCTGGGCCAGGCCCAAGGGTGCCTCTTGGCTGAAGTGTAGAAGGTGGTGAGGTGGTCTTAGGGACCTTATCCTGGATCCAGGAAATGAAAGGATACACAGGACTGTAGACTTCAGGGAGGCCAGGCCCCATGCAGGAATTCCAGGTCATCACACCCTGCAGCAACCAGCTGCTATTTTGGGAGCAGATGAGGGGGGTCCCATCAGACACCTGTTCAGGGGAGAAAAGGCCAGGTCACAGCCAGCCCAGACCCACTGACTTTCCCTCCAGGTGAGCAAAGACCTGATTAGGGGAGCCTGGGCAGCCAGTGTTCATACCTCTGACAGGAAAGGCTGAGGCTGGGGATACCGGATGAGGGGACGCTCAGTGCAACACAAGGAGCTCAGGCGAGAGAGTTCTGCCTCCTGGAACATTTCATTTTCCTTTTCCCCACCCCTCACACTCACTCTTCCCAGTTAAAATGCTTTCTCCCACAAATTCCACCACTCTTGCCCACATTTTTCCTCCTCGTGGCTTTTGAGGCTCAGTATTACACAAAAGTCAGTTTTCAATGAAATGCTCGTGATTATCAAATAACCAGGAGCCTCCCAGTAGTTCACAAGCTGGCTGTGTCAAAGGCTGCCTCACATTTGAATAGGGCCTAAACAGGGAAACAACCCAAGGGGCGGGAAGCTCTGGGGTGGCCATCAGGGTTACAGATAAGCCGGTTCCCTGGGTGTTGTGGAATGGGAGGGAGACCCCAGGCAGAATGAGAGGGTGACCAGGCCTAACTCTATCAAGTCTAGTGGGATTAGGTGGGACTGTGGTGGAGGGGGCATCTCGGGACCTGCTTAGTGCTCAGCTGGAATCCTCACCACCAGTTTGAGTGTGCCGGTGAGGGGCCTGGAGCACCGGGAGCCTTTGGACAGGCAGACCTTCAGGTCAGGACAGTCAGGTTGCAGACGAAAGGCATCTTTGCAGGTTCTGATATGGAGCGGTCTCAAGGGGACACTGTGCAGCTCTTGGGGTGGCACATAGGGATCTGCAGGGGAGTGGGGACAGACATACAGCAGGTTTGCACCAGTCCTGCCCTGCCAGTTGTTAACATATTGCAAAGCTTCCCTACCTGCCCCAAGTCTCCCTACCCCCAACCCCCTCCTGCACTTCCAGTCCTCTCTGACACACCTCACCCCCACCTCTCTCTTAAACAGTCCTCAGTTAGACTTTCACAGTTCCCTCAGGAAAGCTTCAAGCCTACTGAGATCTAAGACACACTCAGCCTGGGGAAGGGATGGGGAGAGTGCTCAGTGCCAGCCATCTGTGCTGAGTGGTGCTGGAAGCTGGATGTCAGGGCCCCATCTCTGCCCTGTGAGCCTGTGTCCATGATGCTGACCAGCAGCTGACCAGAGCGAGGTTGTCCTCTGGGGCTCAGAGACTCAGGATTACTACATCTACAGGGTCCCAGCAACACGCTGGCGGCTCCCCTCATCCCATTCCGCATCCCCCACCACCCTCAGCCATCCCAGTCATCTATTCCCATCCTTACCAAAATCAGGCTCAAACCCTTGGGCCCAGCAGAGCTGCCATTTGTGTAAAGGCTGAGGCCAGGTAGCCAGAGGGACAGGCTGCACAACACTGCTGAGAGATGGTGGCCTTGCCAGCCGGGCCAAGGCCAGGCCACCGGACTCAGAGCCCTTAGGCCCTCCTGGGAACAGGAGCAGCTCCTCCACGCTGGACTTGCTCTTGCAAGTGTCCGGTGCCAGTCGATCTGGGCCCAGGGTCACACTGTAGTGGGACTGAGGCCAGCTATGGAGAGTGGGAGGTCATGAGGCTGGGGTTTTCCCTCCTGGAGCCCCTCCACCACCCTCCCTGCCCCTGCACCTACCTGCTAAAGCAGCTGGCTCCTGTGAGCACCCACTCTCGGGAGATGAGGGCCCCCTCGCAGCGGTACCGGGTATCCAGGAAGATGCTTGCCTGCCAAGGCCACGTGTCTGGGCCCTTTCTGCTATAGGCCTCAGCCAGCCTTGGCCCTGCACCTTGGGAGAATGAGGCCTCACAGCTCAGCTGCGTCTCGGGATCCTGGATGTTTACCATTCATCTCTTTCCTATCTGTGCCCCCATCTTTCCATCCAGGTCTCTTCTAACCTCTGCAGTCCCAGCTTCCATCTCTCCACCCCCCCACCCCACCCCCGGTTTGAAATTGCATTGCCCTGCAGTGGAATCCTGTGTGACTTGAAGTAAGCAACTTAACCCCCCAGAGCCTCAGTTTCCTCATCACACCCACAGTGTTGTTGTGAGGATTAGATGTGATAATATATGTCAAATACTTAAAACAGGCTGTAGTTCAATACATTTTTAGCTATTTTTCTTATTAAAGATGGTTCTTGGAATACTCATGCTTTTTTATGCCTCCAGGTGTGCACACACTGTTCCTTCTACCTGGCATATCATCTCCTACCTTCTCCACCTAGAGAACTATTCAGCCTTCAAACCCCACCTTTTGAAGTCTTTCTCGATCTCTCCCCACCCTCCCACAATCTGCCCTCTGGGAGGATTTCCTCCCCTTGCTGCCCAGCAGCTCATTATAGGTGGGGGTCCAGCTCTGCTTGCTTTTCTCTCACAGGACCTCAGTCATTGCTGAGGCAGTGGGGCCTCCTTTAGACATCCCCCCCACCCCCTCTTAATCTAGAAGGTCAGGCACTGTTTACATGAAACTCCTCCTTGCAGGCCAGACACCCTCACCGCCTGTCACCTACTCTGCCTGGCACCCAGGAGACCTGGACTCTCAGCCCTCGAGGGATGGATCCCTTCCCCTATGCTCCCCAGGCTCCCTACCCAGAGCTCCTTACCAAGTAGCAGGAGCAGAAGCAGTGGCAGCATTTGTAGAGGAGGCCCTGAGTCTTGTCTCCACTGGGTGTGGCCTCCTCCCTGTTAGCTCAGGAAATTTAACCACCCCAATGCCCCTCCCTACAATGCCCATGAGACCCACATCATGGGGCAAAGGGGAACTGGCCTAGGGAAGAGGAAGCTGTGAGGCAGGGCCTGAACCATAATGCAGGCATCCTGCTTACAGACCTTGACCCCTCCTGGTTTGGGGCCAGGAGTCTCCTAGTCCTGCCCTACCCCCTGTCTCAGGTGAGTGTCAGAGAGACCAGCTGACTGAGGTCAACAGCAACAACAATAACCCTCCCCCCACCTCTTCCCAACCCACAAAGCTCTGTAGCACCCATACTACGGGCTTCTTACAGCAATTCCACAAAAGTAGTGCTACCATCCCCTTTTACAGATGGGGAAGTCGAGGCTCAGGGGAGTGAAGTGACTTCCCAAGATCACAATGAGTTGGAACCAGAGTTGGGATTTGAACCAGGGTTGCTGTGATTCTAAGTCCCCAGATTATCCCTCTCGCAGCCCTTACAGGGCTTTCTTCCTGGCTCAGCCTCTCAGCTCTCCAGTGCAGGGGCCACACCAGAAATGCCTGTTGGTTCCTTGTGGAAGGGGCACAGGCCAGGCCCATAGCTGAATTTCACAAGTGACACAAAGCCAAGGGCCCTTTTGGCCTGTCGGGTCCCTCTGGCCCCTCCTGCTGCTGCCCGGCCTTCCCTGCCCCTCAGCCTTGCAGTACTAGATGTCTGCACACACACCATCCTCTTAAAAATTGTATTTATTTATTTATTATTTTTTTAAAGATTTTATTGGGGAATTGGGGGATGGGAACAATGCTGGGGAATCGGGGGAAGGGGAACAGACAATTTGCAGTTGCTGTTCTTTTTGTTCTTCAGTCTAGTTGTGGAGGATGTTGCTTCACTGGCCCAAGCTGGCACCATCATTGTGCTCTTTCAGGGCGAGGCAGATCAGTCACCGGCCTCTGGACGGCCGCTCACAGCGGCTGATAGCCACTCATGCTGGCTGCCGGCTACATATGGTAGCTTATGGCAGCTCACTGCAGCAGGGGACTGCAGCCTATGCCGTTGCCAGCAACCCACGGCAGCCCAGCTCCAGGTCGAGCTGTTGTTCAGCATCTTAGCTGTAGAGGGCAGTGTCATTGGCCCTCATATGTGGGATCCGAACCGGGGCCCTCTGGCATCCCAAGCCAGTTCTTAACCAATGCGCCACTCAGCCGGCCCTGTATTTATATTTATTTTTATTTTTTAATTTTTTATTTTTTTTAAAGGTCAGCGTCACTGGCCCTCATATGTGGGATCCAAACCGGGGCCCTCTGGAGTCCCAAGCCAGCTCCCAACCAATGTGCCACTCGGCCGGCCCGCTGTATTTATTTTTTATTGGGGTGGAATTCACATGGCCTAAGATCAACCTATTTTTTTTTAAGATTTTATTGGGGAATTAGGGGAGTGGAACAGTATTGGGGAGTTGGGGAAGGGGACCAGCAAGTTGTTGTTCAATTTTCGTTGTGGAGGGCGCCAGTCGCCATCTGGCTTCCTGTCAGCAGCTCGTGGCCTCTAAGCTCAAGGTGCTGTGTTCAATCTTAGTTGTGGGTGGGTGTAGCCACCATCCCATGCAGGAGTCAAACCAGCAGCCTTGTTGTTAAGAGCGCACACGCTATTCATTGAGCCATCCAGGCAGTAGCTCAGCTCAAGGTGCCAAGTTCAGTCTTAGTTGCGGGTGGGCGTACCTCACCATCGAACAGTCAATCTTGTTGTTACATCAGTTGAGCCATCCTGCCACCTGTTGGCAGCTCAGTGTCACTGGCCCATGTGGGAATCGAACCGGCGGCCCTGTTGCTCAGAGCTCGCACTCTTAAGCCAACTCTTAACCAACTGAGCCACTTGGCCAGCCCAAGACCAACCGTTTTTATGTATCCAATTCAGTAGTGTTGAGTACATCATGTTGCCTTTACAATAGCTCTTCCTTCACAACTGGAATATCCCTTCCACTTTTGCTGCCTGAAAGCTTTTTTTTTTTTTTAAATTGGGGAATTGGGGGGATGGGAACAGTGCTGGGGAATTGGGGGAAGGGGAACAGACAAGTTGCTGTCGTTTTGTTCTTCAATCTAGTTGTGGAGGACGTTGCTTCACTGGCCCGAGCTGGCACCATCATTGCGCTCTTCCCGGGCGAGGCAGATCAGTCACCGGCTTCTGGATGGCCGCTCACTGCAGCTGCTGGCCGCTCACGCTGGCTGCTGGCTACACACGGCAGCCCATGGCAACCCACTGCCACAGGGACTGCAGCCTACGCCGTCGCTGGCGACTCACGGCAGCCCAGCTCCAGGTTGAGCTGTTGTTCAGCATCTTAGCTGTTGAGGGCAGTGTCACTGGCCCTCATATGTGGGATCCGAACCGGGGCCCTCAGGCGTCCCAAGCGAGTTCCTAACCATCGTGCCACTCGGCCGGCCCTGCCTGAAAGCTTTTTATTGAACCTCAAGATCCAGATAAATTAAATATCATCTCCTCCAGACTGCTTGTTTTCTGCTCCCTCCCCCCATGTTGGTCCAGGGCCTTTCTCTGAGTCCCTCAGCCCCTCAGTCACAACTCTCCCAAACCACATTCAGGACTCCCTGAGTACCCATGGAGGGCAGGCACATTGGAGCCACTCACTAAATGCTCATCCAATGACAGCATGAATGAGTGCAGGTCTTTGGGAGACACTTGCAGGGTTGGGCCTTGCGTGCCCTCAGATTCCAGCCAGAAAATTGGAAAAATCTGTCAACGTCAGACTTCCATTCCCACGTAGCAATAATGGGCTGTAACTGAGCAGTTAAGAGCTCTGCCATTTACCGCAGTCCCTACCCCTCCCTGATGGCTCTCCAGCACAGTCCAAGTGTCAGATGCCATTCATCATTACACTTGCACCACTGTTTTCAAAATGTTATTGAAAGCCAGGAAACAAAAGAAGCTGAGAGGACATGTGTCTCAAAAAGGGGGTGTGGGTGGGGAGTGCAAGCACATCTCTCTATGGGAATGAAGACTTTCACATGTGTTACACACAAATATTCAGCTCTCTAGGCTCCTGTCTCCTACCTGACCACTGTGGCTCCTGGGAACCTCTGAAGATTTGTGAATAGGAAAACACCCTTCAGAATTGACTTCCTAAAAAATAACTTTGGCAAACAGTGTGGAGGACGTAGTTGAAGGAGAGAGACTGGAGGCAAGCAGGAGATTATTGTGATAGTCCAAGTGACAGCCCTGATAGGGGTCTGGACTAGGCAGTGGCAGCAGGACCACAGAGCATGGAAGTTTGGTGATGTCAGAATTTCCGGGCTGACAGTGGAGATGTCACTAAGATGGGGACCCCAGAAGAGAACCAGGTTGGGCGATGGGTGATGAGCTCAGTGGTCGATGCTTTGAGGTTCGTTTAGTTACCATGGAAGCCTTCATGAGGTTATTAACCCTCATCATTTCAGGAGCATCAGAAAGCTCCCAATGTCAGATTACTTCAAACAACCTTAGGGGGCTCCCTTGTTGTCAACAGTTCCAGCAAAGGTGGCCCCTCATTGGACAGGCTTAGCCAGGGGAGGGAGAATGCTGATTGGCCAGACCTGAGTCACCTATCCACCTCTGGAAGGGGTTGGGACTCCAGCCCCAGCGAAACTCCACAGACAGAATGGCTGAGGGCCATTTTCCCAATGGAAACCTGGGCTTTAAGGATGGTGGGATGGATACTGGGCCAATAGAAATAGCATGTGCATTCTCGCTTCGGCAGCACATATATTAAAATTGAAATGTTATAGAGAAGATTAGCAGGGCCCCTGCTCAAGGATGACACACAAATTCGTGAAGCGTTCCATTTTTTAAAAATAGGAAATGCTCCAAATGGAAGAGATTAAAAGCAAATATCGGTACTGGTAAGCAATGAGATAATTTTTTTAAATGGAAGCCCAAATAATCACTTCTGATTACGGTGAACTACTGCTTGAGCAATGTTGACCAAAGTGTCCACTTGTATATATTTTTTGGCATTCCCAGAATTTCCATATATATATATTCAAAAGCCCGAGTTTAGCATTTGCTGATTTCCACAGTGTAAATATTCTCTCCATGACTGATTTCAAGCCACCAACATGACATTACTGAAAGCAGAGTTGTGCACAATTGTCTCCTGTGAGTCAGTGCAAGCCAGTGTGAATAGGTTCCAGTCTGCCTCTCTGTTCCTCAAGCATATTCCACCTCAGGGCCTTTGCAAGTACTGTGCTCTTTGTTTGGAAGTGCTCACCCCAGATCCTTGCATGATTCACCCCTTCGCTTCTTTTGGAACTCTGCTCAAAGCCTCCTCAGAGAGACCTTCCTTGTGCACCCATATATGATAACCCTTGCCATCCCCATCACTCTCCAGCCCTTTTTCCTGCTTTATTTTTTCTTCATAGCACTTATCACAGTCTCAAATTATTTTGAACATCTGTTGATACCATCAAGAAAGTGAAGACAACCCACAGAATGGGAATAAATATTTGTAAATCATATATTTGATAAGAGACTTATATCCAGAATATATGAAGAACTCTTACAACTCAACAAAAAGGCAAATAATGCAATTAAAAATCAACAAAGGATTTGATTAGACAACTCCCCCAAACACAAATGGCCAATAAGCACATGAAAAGATGCTCAACATCATTAGTCAGCAGGGAAATGAAAATCAAAACCACAATGATATACCACTTCACACCTACTAGGATGGCAATGATTTTTTTTTTAAAGGGAAAATAACAATTGTTGGTGAGGATGTGAAAAAATTGAATCCTCAAATATTGCTGGTCCGGTTGTAAAATGGTACAATCACTGGGAAAAAGTCTGGCAGTTCCTCAAAAAATTAAACATAAAGTTTACCTTATGACCCAGCAATCTCACTCTTAGGAATATACCCAAGAGAAATGAAAATATGTGCACACAAAAACTTGTACATGAATGTTCATAGCATCATTATTCATAACAGCCAAAAGGTGGAAACAACCCAAATGTCCATCAACTGATGATAAACAAAATGTGTATCCAAACATATTTGGCCTTAAAAGAAATGAAGTTCTGCTACATGCTACAAGGAAAAACATTGAAAATATTATGCTAAGTGAAAGAACTGACACAAAAGGTCACATATTGTAAGAGTCTATTTCTATGGACTGTCCAGAATAGGCAAATCCACAGACAGAAGTACGTCAGTGGTTGCTGGAGGCTGGCTAAGGGGAAACGAGGAGTGATTATAAATGGGTTTCTTTTGGGTGTGATGAAAAGTTCCTAAAATTAGGTAGTTGCGATGGTTGCACAACTCTGTCAACATACTGAAAAACACTGAGTTACACACTATAAAAGTTTTAGAATATGAATTAGATCTCAAAATAGCTGTTACTAAAAAAAAGAATGGGGCTGGCCGAGTGGCGCAATGGTTAAGAACTGGCTTGGGACGCCAGAGGGCCCCAGTTTGGATCCCACATATGAGGGCCAGTGACACTGCCCTCCACAGCTAAGATGCTGAAC